TTACAGAATCGAGCCATAACATGCAGTCATCTTGACTTCATCACAGAACTTTCACCTTGCCCCAAGGTCTACTTATAGCACAGGGAGTTTATTTAGAATATTTCTACACCACCTCTTCAGAGTCCTGCTCTTCAGGGTTAAAAACCACAGTATAAATACAAAAACAAGCCATTAGACATAAACAGCATTTTTAAAAATACACAAAACAGAAGCAAGAACAATAAAAACTATTTATTGGAGTACTTCAAGCTGGATCCTGCGGAAGTACAAACAGAAAGCACTGATGGTGGAAGATCTCCCCCCCCCCTCCCCACACACACACAGATCTTTTCCTTGCCATAGCAGCCCTCCAGCAAAGGCACTGCAAGAAGTCACCGGCTGCATTGATGTTTTGGTAGACAGGCCCTTTCTTTCTAACATGATTTTTTTGCTACAAACAACTTTAGACTATTTTGATGCTCATGTTTTAAAATGTTCTGGTGACATTGTTTTATATTTGTATCTGCTTCAGAGGCCTGATAATACAGCCTTTGTACTGCATTGTAGAAAACCACATGCGTTTTTAGTGTGCATTTTAATGTGTGTTTGATCTGTACGCTACCTTGAGTGCTCTTGCTATGAGGCGGTATGAAAATAACTGCTAGTTAAAGAAACGTGCCAATCAGACCGCGGTCTGTAGCAACGGAAGATGAAAAGAGAGGGTTAACTTGTTGGTTACAGCAGCAGCCTTTACGGAAATGGTGAGAAATGACTATTGCCGAATCGACAGTTTTAGCAAGAGCTGGTTATTGTAGGATTTGTGTGTGTGTGTGTGTGTGTGTTCCTCCAAGCAGCTCAGGGGGGCATACCTGGGTCTCCCCTCCTCAATTACCTCCTCTCAACTACCCTATGAAGCCGGTTAGGCCAAAAGAGAATTATTAACCCCAGGTTGCCAGTAAGTTTCAAGTCTGAGCAGGGATTTGGTCTCCCCTGGCCTAGATTCTGCTCTTCTGAAAACCCAGTTGTTTTTTTTAAAGGGCCCTGATTCTCTACAACATTCTTCATCCTTTACGTAACATGGAATGCAAGAACCTCTCTGGTTCCACAAGCATACTGCCCATAGCTGCACCACAGCGTTTTACATTTACCATCTTTCATTAAAAAAAAAGTAATATAATAAAAATACAGTTTTGATATTCTGCACATACACTGCTTTGAATTTTTCCTGCACACAGTTCTAATCCAATGGCAGCTCTCATACCCAAAGGGTTTTTTTCTTTTCATTTATACCTTGTGTTTCTCCCAGTGTGGTGTAGTGGTTAAGAGTGGCAGGACTCTAATCTGGAGAACTGGGTTTGATTCCCCACTCCTCCTCCACATGAAGCTTGCTGGGTGACCTTGGGCCAGTCACAACAGTTCCCTCAGAACTCTGTCAGCCCCACCTGCCTCACAAGGTGTCTGTTGTGGGGAGAGGAAGGGAAGGTGATTGTCAGCCGCTCTGAGACTCCTTTAGGCAGAGAAAAGTGGGGTATAAAAATGACTCTCCTCCCCAAAGCAGCTTACATCATTCTCTTCTTCTCCTATCCTCACAACAGTCCTTTGAGGTAGGATAGGCTGAGCGTGTGTGACTGGTCAAAAGTCTCCCAGAGAACTTCCACAGCAGAGCAGAGGTTTGGACCTGGGCCTTCCAGATCCCCAGTCTGACACTCTAAACCACTACAGCAGGCAGGCTCATTTCATCATACAAACCTCTAAAAGTCAACTATTTCATTGAAACAAAAATAACTTCAGGCACAAAAAAAGGTAGTGAAATGATTTAGATTAGGATGAAGGCAAAGACACAAAATTCCCCTGAATGTTCCATCATTTTTACAATATCCCCAAAGGAATCCTTACAACTGATCTCATTTGCCTGTCATGATGTGGAAAGTTTCAGCAACCGGAGGGTTAAACAAAAAGCACAGTTTTTCTTCCCCCCACATTGTTCACTGAACACTGCTGGCAGCCTAGAGGTTAAAGCCACACCATGACTATTTATAATCAACAGCGATGCCATATCTACAGATCTCATTTACAAAGACTGGTTTCACTGCCTTAAAAGGCTTCCAGAACAAGGACAGGGGAAGAAAATTCCAACCACCCCCCCCACGCTATTTTTAATTATGCTATATGGAATATCACCGCTGCTTAGTTCTAGAACTATGGACTTCCGTAGCTTAGGATAACCTGCACACACCCTATTTTTTTTTTTTTTTTAAAAAAATTAAATATTAACTAATTTTATGAGATCGGAAAGCTCAGCATTAAAAACAAAAGGAATGTAAAACGTGCCCAAAGGGCAACGGACTGCATTTCCCTCATTTCTTAACTTTTGTCTCTTGACATCTGCCTTTTCCAGTATGCATTCGGAACTTTACATGTATCCTTAAAAGCTATAACCTGCTCTAAAATGACTGAAATTTGAACAAAATGACTCAGGTCTAGTGAACAGCTCCCATGCGAACTATTTTGGGTGAGGAGCCTTATTGCAGAAGCTGATAGAAGAGAACAAGTTTTATTTAATTTTATAGGCAAAGCCCTTGAGACTACCAGCCTGTTTTCTTCTTGAACTGCCCAGGTCTATAAACGTCTCTATCTTGGCAAGTTAGAGGCTTCGGAACATAGCCTGCAACCATTTATTCATGCATACGATTAAACATTTTGAGAAATTACCAACAGAGCAGCTGGTTCCACTTCCTACTCATGATTAACAATGACTTCAACTGAAATTGAAAAACACGGCATTGCTGCAGGCGCAAGTAATTCTCTCCTCCACCTTGAAATTTTTGCTACTGATAGTGTACTGTGGTGCCAGATTGATAATGATAAGGTTAATGCCTTGCTTCCAAACTATGGCAGGAAACCAAGCTCTAAAAATGGGTTTGCAAATAAATGTTTACAGGCAGAGCAGTCACAAAGGTACGCCAATTCAGATATCAGGAAAAGAATAACCAGGACAAGGAGAAGGGAACTGGTATTGCCTCTAAATTGTGCCACTAGATGGAGCAGGGGTCCATCAGTAGCTATTAGCCATAACGTATAGAGGGACAACAACAAAATAGATGGAACACTATGTCTGGGGCAGTGATGCTCTATATTCCTGGTGCTTGGGGGGCAACAGTGGGAGGGCTTCTGGAGTTCTGGCCCTGCTGGTGGACCTCATAATGGCAAGTGGTATTTTTGGCCACTGTGTGACACAGAGTGCTGGACTGGATGAACCACTGGCCTGATCCAACATGGCTTCTCTTATGTTCTTATATATGTACACGAGCATGGATTTCATGGAAATTTCCTACATGAAAGAGATTTCAATGTAGTAAAATCAGAATGACTGAGTTGGCGCTCAGATTCACCAGGTGCTTGAAAGGACATAAACAGAAAGTCTGGATATCGGGTCCGTTCCAAGCAAGTTTTCTTCCGGTGGAAAAAGGGAGGAGGGGTTTTCCGCGGACCCCCCAAAAGGCTACTGCTGTGAATCATGGAACCTGCATGGATATAAGCCATGTGGGACAGTCAGCTGGTATTGGGAAAGACTGATTTAAAAAGCTGACTAGATCCAGCCCATGATGAAAAATGATAATTTATATGAACATATGATGCCTCCTTACACTGAACCAGACTGCTGGTAAATTTAGCCCAATGTTGTCTATTACCCTGTGTATTTCACTCCAGTACCCCTCCAAAGCTCCCATGTGGTACCCTTTGCAGTACAAATTGACACCAGATAACGGTTCTATGTAAGCAGCATGCAGAACAGAGGCAGTGGCCGTGATTACGACTGTAATAATGTCCAGCCTGAAAAGTCCTCTAAGTGGCTACCAAGGATACCAAAGTATTATGTGAATGCCGTCCATCAAACGTTGTTGGAAACAAACAGAAATATGCGGTTTTCATGTAGCAGAGGCTCCCAAGCCCAATCCTTACCCACCTTAAAATGGGAGAACCAGAGGCAGGGAAAATGGCAGAAGCTTGCCAAAGTTTGAATGAAATAATGACCGGCACACAGCAGCATAGCTTGCAATATGGTGTCTTGTGCCAGTGGTATTCCATGAGTGGAGCTTTCTAGCAAACTTCAGTGAGGTGGCACTTCTTGTCCTGCCATGATCTGAACTTAGAATGTGGTTCTCGCTGGCTCTCTTCCCAAGCCCCTCCCTTTTATTCCTTCCTCTCTGAGTGGATTACACCACATAGCAAAGGCACACTGTTATTTCTCAAGACCATTTTCGAAACGCTGCTCTGAAGTCTCCGAAGGGACAGTGCTGATTTGATGCAAAGGTTGCTGCTTAAGTTGCAACAAGAGCAACAACAAAATAGGGTGATCTCCATTGCTGGGCTAGCATCTGTTGTTGTTCATGATTCCCAACATTCTTGACCAGGGAAACACCAAACTAGCTAGTCAAGTCTCAGGCAAACACGGTGGTAACAAATGAAAAGTGATTTCCATCCCTTAAGAGGGTCTGTCTCCCTTCGGTGGGCCAGAGGAATCTTAAAAGCAGAAGCACCTTTTCGTTTCTGTACTGAAAGTAGTAGACCCTCTAGTGAACTATTGTATTTGTTACCCCCTCGGCACCCTCTTGTGCTCTTCCGGTGACAGCATTCTACAACATCAGCACTGCAGGAGCCGGATGGGCTGCGTTCTTCCCTTTTAAATGACCCTTTGCGACACGGCACTCCTGACTCTGTGTGACACGGCCCCTGCTCGCCCTACTGTAGCCAGCCGTCTCCCCCACCCCCTTGGCTCTTAACCCTCACTACAGGGCACATAATGTCCATTATGCTAATCTATTCTTGGCTCCATTAGTCCCTTGGCAGCGGGCCGGTGATCTCCTGAGCTAGCATGTTTCTGCTGTGCTCAGAAAACCTTGCGCCAGGCTTTAGAAAGCTTCCTCCTCCCTCCTCTCCTTTCTTCCTCCCTCCAAAAGGCTGATGTGATGCGAGAGCAGAGCATTCTACAGATTCAAAGCAGGCGCTTAGGGCTCCTGTTAAGAAGATGCTTGTTTCCCTGTGTATGTTTACACAGTAAGCCTATCCCTTATGAGCTTCTAAAGACAACGTCATCCTATTGGGACTGGATTTCCTGCTGTTTTTCTTAAGCCCGCACAGACGGACCTGTGTGGTGACAAGACGACTAACGCAGAGATAGGAGTCGGTGGCAAAATGGATGCATCTTCCAGCTAGCGTTCAAAGGGAAGGATTTCGACACCATGAAGTGGGGGAAAGGGCAGCCTCCTTCACCGAAGCCCAGGACGTGCCAGTAAGGACACATCAGATTTTATTTTTTAATTTCATTTACTTCACTGATAGCCTGCCTTTCTCAGGAGGGCCAAGGTAGGTTTATAACGTGATGCATTCTAAAATGTACGTGTGGGGGGTTTTGTTTGTTTGTTTGTTTCCCATTTTTTACTCTCTGCATACTCTGCTTTAAAAAGCAATTCGCAATTTTCTGGGGAAATAAAACTGATTTTAAGCGTAGATGTTGGGCTTAGGAATATATAGGAAAACATGGCTATATAGCTAAACGGAAGTTTTTAAGGTTAGACCATGAAATTCAGTCATCACCATCGCTGGAAACACAGCAATCCTATGAAGTTTCTCATTTTATGGACCGGCACTGTTTAAGCTAAAGATTGCTTTCAAGCATGCATTGAAGTGGGGGAGGGGGGGATCAATACTAGTAAATTAATACCAGAAAACTGTTAGGTGTTTGCAGAGCTTTTCGGACTCGTCCTTCTGCTACATTTCTCTTCCAGTGCCAGATATTCCCAGCACCTAAGAGATCAAGGATGGAGACTTTACCTCTCTCTGAGCTCTAAGAGCCCATACCGCTGCACTGAGAGTCACAGGATGGTTCAACAAAGCCAAGTCTGTGTAAGAATATGTGCGGAAAGGTAAACGCATGCAGCTGTAAACAAGTTTTTTTGGGTTGGGTTTTTTTTTTTTTTTTTGCTAAAATGGGACTGGAAACATTAACCAGAAATAGCACCACAAGGCAAAGCTGAGTTCCTAGGGTCAGAATTTTCCTTTTTCTCAGGAGAGATTTGAAATACTCTATAAAGGGCTAATGCATGCTAACCTGTTATCTCTTGCCTAGCAACGACGAACCCCCACCCTGCCCTTGCTGGAGGAAAAGCTGGCCAAGGCCAACTCCAGCCTTAAAGGTACTTGATCAAATACAGGATATAAATGCATTGTTTTAAAAGGGAACTAAGATCCGAAGCCAAAGGATTGTGCAACTAGTTCCACATGCCACAGCTTTGCATTTGGGCTTATCAAATAACACAGCAAAGGTATGCCCCCCCCCCCACGGCACTGCAGATTCAGGGAAGCTTGACAAGCAACTTGTAATATAACAAGGCTGGGAGGGGGGAGAAAATACTTTTTGAAAAGGAGGCATCAAACATTTCTGCATGTCACTAAATAACTCTTTGGATACCAGCCTTTAAAAAGATAAACATTGTAACCCCCCCCCCCCTCCAAAGACTCCTGTAGGAGGGGGAATGAGACTCTAAAAAGAAAATAATCATAATAAGCAGCAGTGTTACTGAATTGACATGGGAATGTAAACAGAAATTCAAACTGGGTAAGATGAGGGTAGAAACCTAATACTAAGCCACAGAATGGTAAAGGCAAGAAAAGAACACCCAGTTCTTAAATGCACAGTTTGGCATGTTTTTCTTCAATATCTGCATTCATGAATACTAAGTTCCATAGACATACACTTCCTCTCTGACCAGATACTTCATTGGGGGTGGGCACACCCAGGCATGGTTTGTCCCTTACACACAGTGGCCATCTGTCTTAGTTCAAACACTGATTTCTCTTCCCATCTCCCCAGGTAGACACGTTCCCCTGAACGATGGTTAGAAGAAAACCTCTGGATCACGGAAGATGAACCAACTTGAGGCAGTCAAATCTGGGTTTTTGTTATGCATCGCGGTTTGCCTCTTCATCTTTGCCTTCATCTATGTCAGGAATACACTCCCCAAGGAAGCCAATGAGCAAAAACGTTCCCTGGAATTAGCACAGTGCGGCTTCTACCCAGATGAGCTTTGCTCGGCTCTCTTTGAAGGCAAAGATGCTGCTCCTCAAATTGGCCACCTGTGCCAGCAGATTCTTCGTGGCCAAGAGATGTCTACCTGCATACAGACTCCTTGCAACTGTTCAACGGTCCACAAGAGACTCCATTTCATTACCAGGCCACTATCGGAAGAAGAAGGGAACTTCTCTTTGGCATACATTATCACCATCCACAAAGAGCTGGACATGTTTATCAAGTTACTCAGAGCCATTTATATGCCTCAGAATATTTATTGCATACACATTGACGAAAAATCACCAAAGGATTACAAGGTAGCTGTGCAAACCCTGGTTAATTGCTTCGAAAATGTTTTTATCACTTCCAAAAGAGAGACTGTCGTCTATGCCGGCTTTTCCAGATTGCAAGCGGACATCAACTGCATGCACGACTTGATTCATTCCAAAACTCAATGGAATTATGTCATTAACCTATGTGGGCAGGATTTCCCCATCAAAACTAACAAGGAGCTGCTACAATACATAAAAAGCAAATGGAATGGTAAGAACATAACTCCGGGGATTGTTCAGCCACCTCAAATGAAATACCGAACGCACATAAGTTACAATGAATATGCACACGCAGGAAAATATTATGTGTATCCAACAAAGAAGGTGAAAAGTGAGCCACCCCGCAATTTGACTATATATTTTGGGAGCGCTTACTACGTACTCACAAAAAAATTTGTAGAGTTTGTACTGACTGACGAACGCGCTAAGGATCTGCTCGAATGGTCAAGGGACACCTACAGTCCTGATGAACACTTCTGGGTCACTCTGAACAGGTTGCCAGGTAAGCAGAATTTTTTTATACTACGGAGTATTCCCATGCCCTGAATGCTCAAGCCCATGAGAATCAACTGGAAACCAGAAGCTAATGTGCCAAGACAATTTTCTCATTTGGCCCTTCAGCATTCATAAAATAGGAAACCCAAAATACCCAGTACCAAAAGGCTGGTACAACCTTCTAAATATTACTTTTGAAAAATCCCTATCTACCCAACCTGTTAGTTTTTAATACAGGGCTTCCCCCCCCCCCCAATCTCAAAGTGTCAACTACATGTGTAAACTTCTGAAGGCATCAGAGCTAGGCTATCTTTAAACAGAAAAACTTCTGAAGTGCAAGATAATACAAATGTTCAATATACTCTCTCATTTAGCTAGACTTGCATTCTTAACCTATTAGCTACCCATAAAAGATTATGCTTTTCTTTATTCAAGAAACCCCTTAATAAACCCTTATGAAATTGACAATTTCTCTACCCATCCAATGCTGAAAGCCCAAAGTATCCCTACAATGCTTCTCCTGGGGAGAAAGGGGAGCCCCAGAAACAGCACAAGAGAGGAGTCGGAGATATGCCACTAGGCGGGGGAATCAGACACATGGAAATGATCAGCAAAACAGAACCCATGATATCTCTGTCTCCCTATTTCTCAGGCTAAGACCAATGCTTCAAATATGCCAGTCTCAGGTGATTCACATCCGTAGCATGCCTGGTCCTCCCGAAAGGAGAGACTGGGAATGGAAGGGACCTTTCACCTTCATGCCTCAAGATGCCCAAATTGAGTCTGGCAGCCACCTCCCTGGGGGATGAAGGGATTTGTCCCACGTGAGAGCCTGCTACCCTGCATGGAGGAAACAGCATGGGATTGTGGGAATGGAGTCAAAGATCCCCCCCCTTCCAAGGTCTCCTGGGAGCACCACCCGGTCTGTCTTCTCACATTTCACTGTCAGTAACCAGCAGTGCTCCTCTCTGCTGCCTTCCCTTAGACTGCTCCTGCCAGGCTACTCCTTGCAAGTGAGGGTCACTGCAAAGGCTGCCAATGCCACACCCGCTGCACTGAAGCATCCCCACCCCCAATCAGGCATGATGTGCCCTAGGCCGGGTGGCTCTTACAGCTTGGCAGAGCCTTCACAATCCAGCTTGGCAGAGCCTTCACAATCCGATGACAAGACTCGCGCCTCCTCCTTGACCAGGTACCAGGGGAACCTCTATGCCTTCACAAGCATCCTGGGCTTCAAAGTATTTAAAGACATTCTGAGCCCTTCCCTAGTCCCCAACCAAGCCTCAGAAATAGAAGCTATCCCCCCCCCCCCAAAAAAACCAGGGGTCCCACAAGCACTGTTCCTTCTAGGCTGGGTTAGTGTGAGCTAGCTCAACAGTCTTTTAGCCTCCAGCTCACACATTTTTGTCTTAGCTCAGGAAGGATGGCTCCAGGGCAAACTAATTTATGCAGTAGCCAAATCGCTCGTTCACTTTAATGCCGGTAGCTCACAAAATAGAATTTTTGCTCACAAGACTCCACAGCTTAGAGGGAGCATTGGTCACAAGACGAGGCAGTACTGAAATTGCAAGAAGACCTAACATGGCATGTGGGGGGGGGGCAGGCGAGAGACTCAGCATTTTAAATAATCAACCCTGGGTAATGCTGCTTTCTAATGTGACCGTTAGATGCCCCAGGCGCCACGCCAGATGCAGACTGGGATGGAAACGTACGAGCCATCAAGTGGAGCGATCAAGAAGGAAAATCACACAACGGCTGCAAAGGTAACACAGAAACCAAACATTGCCTCAAGACGCACCGTGCACTCGCTCTCTACACCAGGTTCTGATGAGACACCACACCTTCATTCATTTGGACGCAGCTTGAGCACTGAGCTGACAAAATCCCCAATCAAACAAGCGGAAGCTGCGCAGAGCAGGGGAGACGGCTGTTGCCAATCTATCACACGTTTCTATGGGACAGTCACAAGAGTCACTTAACGGCTTTCTGATTTTTATCCACAACATACATCTTAATATTCATAAAGTGTGGGAAATCCCACCAGGTAGCAATGGATCACATTAACTGAGATGCCTCCAGCAACTGTCATACTGTGATTATTTATACACACTCTACTTAACAAGATGATTTAGATCAACTGTGAAGCTGATTTACGTGTACACCAGTCTGGCGTAGTGGCTGGAGTGTACTGGGAGACCCAGGTTAGAATCCTCACTCCACCGCGGGAGCCTGTTGGATGACCGTGGTCCAGTCACACACTTTCAGCCTAATCTACCTCATAGGGTTGTTGAGAGGAGGAGAGAAGAACGAACTAAGCTGCCTTGGGGTACCAATGGGAGAACGGCGGGCTTTAGATGGTCAATAAATAAAATATCTTGCCAAAAGGGATTTTACTATGATGAAGCAGTTGGACAAGACATTTTCCCCTACTCAGATTCGTTCTCCCGTCTCTGAGGTTTCAGAGAGAGCCACAGCTGATGGGGGGGAACTAAGTAATTGGAGCTAGACTTGAGTCCAGTAGCGCTTTAGAGGCTAACAAGATTTTTGTTCTCATAGGCTGTTCTCTAAAGTCCTATTGGAGACTAGCTCCTCTACAGCGGACCAACATGACTGCCCTCCTGAAACTGTTTTTTTTTTTTTAATGTGTGTTTGTGTATGTGTGAGTGTGTGTGCACCTGGAAGTCATGGCGACCTCTGGTGACTGACCCCCCCCCATTTGGGGGCCTGGAGAATATTCATACAGGTGGCTGAATAAAGCCCTTGCCTCGCCTCCCGCCTCTGCTATTCCAAGGAGGTCTCCCACCCAAGTACTCGCCAGGGTCGGCCCTGATAGCTTCTGAGATCTGACAAGATCGGGCTTGCCTGGGCTGTCCAGGTCAGGGCCTGAAACTATCTTCATGGGTAACTGGAATAATACAAAAGAATTTTTATGCTGGGAAAGGTTTGGCTGGTAGCATCTGCATACCTGTCAGTACAATATAGTTTTTGCCTCCCCATGATACAAATGGGTTGTAGAAGTGACTCAGAAGCAACAGACTAATGCCATTAATGGGAATACAAATAAAATGAGGAAGCATTATACAGAGCCTTAAATAAATATTCCAGAAGGATTGGGTTTCAATTATGTGAACAGCGGTGGCCTGTTTCAAACACAGTGTGATGCCATCGTTTTGAATAAAGGTCCTGTTGCATTATTTAGTGAGAAATCTATTGTTATACTCTTCATTCCAGAGGCAGGGACAGTAAAATGACCTCCTAATTACATGCCCATCCTTCCTCCCACCCCACCCCACCCCACCAGAAACCATTCCTTAACTGCTTTTGCACAGAAGAAAAGCCTACCCCTGCAGAATCTAGTGACATTTTCTTTGATTTGGTGTTTGGTGTAGGTGAGCCAGTTTGGTGTAGTGAGCCAGTTTGGTGTAGTGGTTAAGTGCGCAGACTCTAATCTGGGAGAACCGGGTTTGATTCCCCACTCCTCCACTTGCACCTGGCTGGATGACCTTGGGCAAGCCATAGTTCTGATAAGAGCTGTTCTTGAAAAAGAGCAGTTTCTGTCAGAGCTCTCTCAGCCCCACCTACCTCACAGGGTGTCTGTTGTGGGAAGGGAAAGGAGTTTGTAAGCCGTTCTCTGAGACACCTTTGGGTAGTGAAGGGCGGGGTATAAATCCAATCTCTTCTTCTTCTTCTCCAAATACAGCCACTGTACATTGTCCTAGATTCATATATGTAAGAAATCTCCCCCTGACTCACAACAGCTGGAGTACCCAAACTTTTGATCCCAAGGGCCACACGAGGATACAGAAACCATTTGGTGGGTTGGGCCAGGGTGGACCCCATTTTACAAAAAAAGGCCTAAGAAATGGGGTTGAGTGCCGCTAGAGAGGTGGGACTGGAACTCTTAAACTCTTAAGCCCCTCCTTTTAAGCAGATCCAATCCCACCAAATGTCAGCTTTCAGCATGTGTCGAAAGCCCTGACAAAGGAGCCAGAATTCAGTGGGCTATATTTTCATCTTTTAATTTATAATCTGTATAGAATACTTTCTTTCATTTCACAGCAAAACTTCAGTGCCTATGCCGGTGGGGCCCAACCAAAGAACATGCACACACTTTTATATCTCACATACTCAAACCACGTACAGCTTCACATATGGGTATTCCTTCTCTTGTTTGCACATGTACCTTTCGACTCAGGTACAGCACCCTCATGTTTGAAACTTAAGCAATGAAAGCCAAGGTAAAGCATGGGGGGGGGGGAATCACCTTTGTTTTCCATGCTACTTCTATTCCAACCTCCTCCAGGGAATCCCACTGAGTCTGCCCCAACATGTGCCTTTAAGATCCCTTGCCCTAGTCAACACAGCCCAAGGAGACGGTACTTACAAGTGAAAATTTGGGGTCAATAAAACAATTGAAGAGGAATGAGAAGGGGACATAGGGAGACTCAGCATATGCCACACAATGGCCAGTCCCCATCTCTAACCTATAATGCCCACCCCATGCTGCAGATTGCACCAAGTCTTGGATTGGCAATTTACTATTTTAATTGTTTTGCAGGTCATTACGTCAGAGACATTTGCGTGTATGGACTTGGTGACATAAAGTGGATCATTGAATCTCCTCATTTGTTCGCCAACAAATTTGAGTCAAAAACCTATCCGCTCGTCATGGAATGTCTAGAGAGGCGTTATCGGCTCAAAGTACTCCAGCAGGCTGAAGTACCGTTGGAAGAACACTGGGCTTTACAGGAACATACTTATTTTGATATGAAGACAAACATCTGAATCCACTATGGCCAACGTCAGAAGGACAAAAAGGCAGGAACAAAATAATGTTGTTTTAACGTGTATGTTTCAAATAGGAAATCTGTCCAATGCAGCACCCAAATTCTGTATCTTTGGACCAACAACAACATTACATTGGGGGGGGGGGGGACACTGTTCACAGAATGAAGAACTGATATATACTGACATCCGCTAACTTTAGCAATGTGGCCTTGAGGACCTTTGGGCGGAAAGGTGGTATAAAAATAAGATAAATAAATTCTCCAAACACATCAATTAGGGCTAGAGCATTTAATCAATTGATCGGCTTATTAATAACCGTTTAAGATTTCAGGAACAAAGGTTCCTCAGATTTATCTGGCAGCAGATTTTTTTAGAATGCTTAACAGTATTTTCTTAATAAAAGTATCACATAAATGATGGGCGTTCCTTTGGAAGAGGCATTTGAGTGCTCTCGTTTAAAAGGAAGGAATGCCTCTGATGCATGCATACGTTGCAAACATTATCGTCTAAGACCATGTATGACTCCCCCCCCCATTGGTTTAAATCCATATGCAAATTTAGGTTATTTAATCAATTAAGTCGACTGATCGACTAAAGTGTCTTTGACTGGATGACAAGAATCCTTTAAAAAAATTCCAAGTTGCCTATATAGGCAGTTATATGTAATATAAATATACAAACTCAATGTACATACGAAGAATCTATGAAGCTTAAGATGAAATTTGGTATTCCATGTGCCTCTATTTTGACAGAAGGACAAATCAGGCAATTTACTGGAAGGAAAACAACAATCAAGGACTAAATGAGAGTAAACACAAACAAAGACATTGGGTTGGATCCCACACTGGAGCTCTTGTATAAGAGAAACGCAAGAAACAGTCAACGGTAAACTTGAGATAAGTCAAAATTATTGTGTCCCCACTTGAGTTTCTGCTTGCATAAGATGTTGTGCCACCAGTTTCTGAGTGCTATAAAGCTATAGGGAGGAAAGTGCAAGGTATTGCCCAAGATCTTGCACAAGCAGAACTGAAGGAAGTCTGTTTAGGTTTCTGCTGTGCACCACTGGATCCACACTGTTATACAGGAATTCTACAGATCTCAGTGGAATGACAAAACATGGAACCTGAAGTTTACAAGGCAGCTTAAAAGGAGAACAGACTCATACAACAAGATGTTTTATGTCACTGATTACTCACTGTCACCTAAGTTACTGAAAATGTGAGATTATATGTAATCGTGAATATGAGGACTGATAAAAAGGGGGAAGATCATCACACATGGATCATTTCCTGTTTGTGTGCTCATGGTTTCCGAAGCTGAGATCAGTGTGTGTGTGTGTGTGTGTGTGCATGTGGCTTATTTTTTAATCATTTCAGATTAGGAATGGCCAACAAGAGAGACTATAAAAATGTTCTATATTATTAACAAAATATACTGGCCAGTAGTTTTGATTAGAAGAGAAAGGAAAATTTGGTTTCAGACATTTTGAGAAGCGGATGAGCCCCCCAGATATTTCAGAGTTTGATAGATCACGTTCCCGTCATGCTGAATACCCGCATTCCACGATTGTGGCAATATCCTGGAAGGTGGCCCCAGACTTGGTGCCCACCCATGCCCCAGAATTTTTTTTAAAGTTTGTCATCCATGTTCTAGAGCACTTTTTTAAAAAAGTGTATTCACTGGTTTTTCAACTACTTGGATTTCTTCTGTCATACAGCGGCAGATGAGAGCTACGTAAACTGCACAAATAAAGAAGGATTGTCCTCCTTCAGACCACAGGTGTGTGACACTACAGCTTGATCCAACTGGGATTTCTGCAGGATTGACAGGATTTCTCTCCATGGAGTGGGGCCCAGGTATTCCATCAACTAGGTTTGCGTGCATACATTCAGACAGAGGGCAGGATACCACAGATCTTTTCTGCTAGCATTACTGCTTCCCTCTACTGCAAGAGGTCTTCCCGACGTAATAGGTTCTCCTGGAACAGGCCTCTCACATTGAGGAAGGCTCCATGCACCAGAGGAAACCGCCACTTTGACAGAATCTAACCCAGAAAATTGAGGGTTTCGACACAATTTATTTATTTTATTTATACCCCGCCCTCCCCGCACGCAGGCTCAGGGCAGCTTACAATATACAGGTGCAATGCAGCACCGTAGTTACACAGTAAAGGCACACAGTGCAATAAAAACACAATAAAACATTTTAAACGGTTAAATACAGTGGGCTACGCCCAAGGATATGAACTTTAACCATGACAATTCAGGAAAAGAAAGATCTGTGACTGTTAAGGGGTTTTCATAGAGATGGCCTTAATTTTACACATGACTCAAGTATGCAGACCTCCCCACGCGTCTCAGCTGTCTTCAAACTTCCCAGATCAAGTGCACAAATTACACAAACTTGTGTATATCGTGCTGCCTACAATCCAGTGATTTCTATACACTTAACGTCCTACCAAAACTATTTAAAAACTCAGATTAGAAGTGAACCTGTAAACTAAAAATATATGGGGTTGGATCCAGCCAAACTTTTTACTCAGTCTCACCCATTTCCCCTCTTTACTACAGCCTCCATCACACATGGCTTTCATGCATGCTTGATCTCCAGCATAGCCCTCTGGGTAAACACAGGAGACCCATTTGCTTCCTTCTGCACCAGCAGAAAAGCTGGGTGGAGCCAACTCAGGCTTTTTGCTACTGAAATTGAGGCTCAGTCTTTAGCTCACTACAAGGTCTTAGGCCCAAGCTGTGTTGATCCCATGACCATTGTGAAAAGACTTTCCCTTTCCCAAATGAAGCTTTTAGAGCAGCTTTTCCAAGAGGAAGGACGGGTCAGGGTGGAAAGGACTTTTAACCCTTAACTGGAGAACCAGTTTGGTGTAGTGGTTACGAGCACAGACTCTAATCTGGGAGGTCTGATTCCCCACTCCTCCACATGCAGCTTCTACTGTGACCTTGGGTCACTCACAAGTTCTTTCAGAGCTGTTCTCTCAAGAGCAGTTCTCGAAGGAGATCTCTCATCTCCACCTACCTCACAGGGTGTCTATTGTGGGGAAGGGAAGGGAAGGGAAAGGAGATCATACGTGAAGGTCAGGGTACCAATCCAACCACCAGCACCACCACCACCTCCTCCTCATCCCTTGCCTTTTTTGCCACTGCAAAAGAACTACCACCAAGCTGTTTATACTCCAGCTTGGGGGGAGGGGGGATGCTGATACCTGTAAATGTTCCCCAGTGGAATTAAAAATAGCTGGGGTCAGGGTAGCTTTTTTGATAGAAAAGGGGGGAGAAAATAATGGGGGGGGGACCCCTGGACTACAACTGTGGTGTTCTCCCCTTAGGAAAAAGTGTTGCTGCACTTGGAAAAGAACAATAGCCTTCAAAACGTAATGCGTAGCCTGCAGCCTTTGGGGGACAGGGTGATAGAACCCAGATGCAAGACGGAAATCAGATCTCTCCAAATAATCCGGCGTATGATTATTTGAGGAATGAGTCTCTGAAACCCTGCTGTGACAGAAAAAGGCCTTGCCTCTGCTCTCTCAACGGGAAAACCTTATAGAGAATAAAGGGAAACAGCTACAGGAAGGCAGCTTTCCCACCCAGCAGCTCTGTTTGAAGTTTGGACTTCTAGTGTTAGTGGGGGGAGGGGAACAGATATGAAGCCGTTAATACGCAATGCAAACTTAACAGCGGATTCCCAGTGTGGCTCACTCATCATCATGGAAATTTAACATCTCCCATCTGCTTCTGGTAAGACACAGAGGACCTCCTCTACGCACTTGACTGACTTCACCTTTAGATTTTGGTCTTGCTGTCTAGGACTCCGCTGTTGGTCCTAAGAGGAAAGCAGGTCTTTCATCCCCTGAGCAGGACAGGCTCCTTCTCCTACTTTTTCTCGTCATACTGGCAGAATCAGGGCAGGAGGCTCAGCAATGTGCCACCCAGACTCCTGCCTTCTCAGTCCATTCAGCAAAGTTCAAAGCCTTCCTTCCAGTCTGAGGAGACTACTTCAGATGGAAGAGCAAGATTTCGAGTGCCCAGTAGCACCTTAAAGGCTGACAAGATTTCCAGGATATAAGCTTTCAAGGGTGAAAGCTCCCTAAGGACCTCTGACTCTTGAAAGCTGGAAACCTTGTTGGGTCTTTAATGCGCTACTGGGCTTGAATCTTGCTCTTCTATTGCAGACCAACATGGCTACCCACCTGAAAATTCTTCCAATGGCTCTCCCCTCTGAGCAGATTGCTAGGACACAAGCCACAACGGTGGATCCGATCAAAAAGATCCGTGCACGAAGTGCAACTCCATCCCTGCCCCAGCCTTACAGCTGTGGATCTTTCTGATGGGATCCAGCCCTCAGTTCTTGAGCATGTCTCATGATCCTACAAGCAATGCTCACGACACTTGCTGGAGGGATCGGCATTCCTCTGGCTGGATCACTTAATACATTCACTATGCCAACTGCGCAGGGACTTTTCACACATGGACACGATCCATGTCAGGGACCTTAACCACGGCTGTTGCTGAGAAGAGTATGCAATCTCGACACTTTCAAAGCCAAGCGGATGAAAAGAACGTGCGTCTAGCAAAAAGATGAGCTTTAAGTGCTCTCTTTGAACGATATAACCCTGTTGAAAATGGGAACAGAAAAATCCCTTTCTAGTAGACTTCCCAGATACAAAGCCAACATAGTTTTGTACTTCCAACAAAGTCTCCCCCTTGCTGAACACAGAAGAATTTGGCAATCATTAATGATTTCATTGCTGCGTTCAATAGTGAAGCACACTCCACCCTTTTGGAAGTTGAAATTGTGAGCCAGAGAACAGGAGAGGCAGCAGTGAATGCGTTATGCTCAAGGGCATTTCCTTCCGCAACTTTAAAGAGGTGTTTGCATTGCCAGTGAGACTGAAGGGGATAATACCAGACCTCCTCTACAATACCTGGATTGAGGCTGAGAATGCAACCATCTTCAAATACTCTCATCTGTGGCATAACTAGAAGGTCATCAGAGCAAATCATTAAACTTTCCCCCCAGCTGTGACAGAGGCGTTTGGCAGCCGAACTCATTTTCAATAACCTCTACACGGCACTGGTAGTCTGCTAATTATTTCCTTGGGAAACCCACCCCTCGCG